CCTTGGGAGCGTTCGTGGGGCCATCTCGGAGGGGATCGATCAAAGAAGGGGGGGTCCTGAATTAGCCTCGCCCCCCCAAGAGGCCAAAATGGTGCCAACACCCTAGTAAAACCAATGAGAGTGGTTTCCTCGCCGAGGCCGCTTTGGACGCCCAGACCGCTCGCAGGGCGCCCCGTCCAGGTCCAGGGGGGAGGGTAGGGGGAGAGGTCCAGATCCCCTCCCCGCCCGCAAGCCGTCTCGCTCACTCCCACCCGCCTCCCCCAACACATACGTAGCACCCGAGTCTGGCCCGAGCCTCAGCATATTCAGCAGTCGTCTTTGGATGGGCAGCTACTGGGGGCCAATCCGCCGCCGCCGCCGCTGCCGCCGCCGCCGCCGCCGTCGTCGCCCCCCGCTGCCAAACCGCCGCCGCCGCCGCAGCCGCTACCGCCACCGCGACCGCCGCCGCCGCCGCCGCCGCCGCAGGCGCCGCCGCCGCCGCCGCAGCGGCCGCCGCAGCCGCCGCCGCAGCAGCCGCCGCAGCCGACGCCACCGCCGCCGCAGCCGCCGCAGCCGCCGCCGCCGCCAAGTGTACTCTGTATTGTTTTTTTGACAGGGATGGTGGGAGGGGGCCGCATCGGGTTGGCTGCACATGTTCCGAATTTGGAGGCAGAGTGTGTTTTGTATTGTTTTTTACAAGGGATGGTGGGGGGGGGGGGCATGGACCCTGGTTGGCCCCCAGTCGCCTGGGGGAGGGGGTGTTTACTAGCCGGCCGCTCTGCGGTTGATCGGGAGTTTCTGTATATAGAAGAAGGTGCGTGCGCTTGTTGGCGAGGGTGATGAGGTTCCTCCTCCTCCTCCTCCTCCTCCTTCTCCTCCTCCTCCTCCTCCTCCTCCTCCTCCTCCTCCTCCTCCTCCATCCTTCTCTTGCCTCCGTCTGTCCTCCTCCACCCCGCAGCTCCATCATCTTCTCCTCCTCCTCCTCCTCCTCCTCCTCCTCCTCCTCCTCCTCCTCCTCCTCCTCCTCCTCCTCCTCATTCCTCCTCTGGGCACCTCCCCCGGGGCGCGGATCCACCGGATCTGTCCGGATCTGTCCGGAAACGGTGCTGGAGGCCGCTCTGGGCTCCTCTGGGCACCTCCCCTGGGGCCGGTTTTGTGAGGATGTCTCAAGCGAGGGCGCCGGTTTGGGATTCGTCGGCGGATCCACCGGATCCAGCGGATCTGTCCGGAAACGGTGCCGGAGGCCGTCTGGGCTCCTCTGGGCACCTCCCCCGGGGCCGGTTTTGTGAGGATGTCTCAAGCGAGGGCGCCGGTTTGGGATTCGTCGGCGGATCCACCGGATCCAGCGGATCTGTCCGGAAACGGTGCCGGATGCCGCTCTGGGCTCCTCTGGGCACCTCCCCCGGGGCCGGTTTTGTGAGGATGTCTCAAGCGAGGGCGCCGGTTTTGGATTCGTCACCGGATCCACCGGATCCAGCGATCCACCGATCCGTCCCGGAAACGGTGCCGGGGAGGCACTCTCTAGGTCTCCTCTGGGCACCGTCCCCGGGTACGGTTTTTTATGTGAGGATGTCCTCGGGGAGTAAGACGACAAGCACCGCGAGAGCTCCACAAGCGTGGCTCCGGTTTTGGGATTCGTCACCGGATCCAGCGGATCCAGCGGATCCACCGGATCTGTCCGGAAACGGTGCCGGAGGCCGCTCTGGGCTCCTCTGGGCGCCCCCCCGGGCCGGTTTTGTGAGGATGTCTCAAGCGAGGGCGCCGGTTTGGGATTCGTCACCGGATCCAGCGGATCCAGCGGATCCACCGGATCTGTCCGGAAACGGTGCCGGAGGCCGCTCTGGGCTCCTCTGGGCACCTCCCCCGGGGCCGGTTTTGTGAGGATGTCTCAAGCGAGGGCGCCGGTTTGGGATTCGTCACCGGATCCAGCGGATCCAGCGGATCCGTCCGGAAACGGTGCCGGAGGCCGCTCTGGGCTCCTCTGGGCATCCCCCCCGGGGCCCGTTTTGTGAGGATGTCTCAGGCGAGGGCGCCGGTTTGGGATTCGTCACCGGATCCAGCGAATCCAGCGGATCCAGCGGATCCGTCCGGAAACGGTGCCGGAGGCCGCTCTGGGCTCCTCTGGGCATCCCCCCCGGGGCCCGTTTTGTGAGGATGTCTCAGGCGAGGGCGCCGGTTTGGGATTCGTCACCGGATCCAGCGGATCCAGCGGATCTGTCCGGAAACGGTGCCGGAGGCCGCTCTGGGCTCCTCTGGGCACCTCCCCCGGGGCCGGTTTTGTGAGGATGTCTCAAGCGAGGGCGCCGGTTTGGGATTCGTCACCGGATCCACCCAGCGGATCTGTCCCGGAAACGGTGCCGGAGGCCGCTCTGGGCTCCTCTGGGCACCTCCCCCGGGGCCGGTTTTGTGAGGATGTCTCAAGCGAGGGCGCCGGTTTGGGATTCGTCACCGGATCCAGCGGATCCAGCGGATCCACCGGATCTGTCCGGAAACGGTGCCGGAGGCCGCTCTGGACTCGTGCTCTTCGCGCCGGTTTTGTGAGGATGACGTGAGTTCCACAGAAACTCCCTCAAATTAATAGGGAACAATGATTAACCCCCTCCCCGAACGGGAAGAAAGCGGGTTGGAAGAGGATCCGCCGTAAACCACCTACGCCCAGAGGGCTAGTGGGATTCGAGTTTGAGTCGAAAAGATCCTCTGAAGTGGCCCCAACGAACGAACGAGCGAGGCTGCCGTCGCCGGGAAGGCGCCCCTGCAAGGGAGGCAGGCGCGCCTGTAGCGCGGTGCCCCTCGAAGAGGACTGGGAACGGGCTGAACCATACGCCAGGGTGGCCCCGAGCAGGTCCCAAACACGTGCTTCTCTGGCCTCCGCCGCGCCTCGGTCTCGTTGAGCTCGAGCGACGCGCCGCCGAGGCGGAACTCCACGCGGTTCTTCAGCTCCTCGTGGCGGCGCGCACAAGGGGATAGAGGGGGAGGGGCGGGGCTTCTTATACGGAGGCCGCTTCTCAGAAGGCGCCGTCCTTTCATTTATAGACGAGGCCCGCGGCTTCCAAGAAGCAGCCTCCTTCTGAGAAGCCTTCCCACCTCCCCCCACCCCCCTCTGCTCGTGGCCGATCCTCGGCGCCGAATTCCTTCCGGCGCCCCGAGCTCATGACCGACACGCTCTTGCAGGCCGTGTCGCCGCCGCCGCCCAGCTGCACCCACGAGCCAGCGCCCGTCTCGTCTGCCTCGGCAGATCGCGCCCGCCAGAGAGGATGCACAAGCGGGGGCGAGGGGGCACGCAGGGAGGGGGGGGCAGCTCGGGGAGGGTGGGAGGGGCATCGAGTTGAGTCGGCGGTAAATCGCCGACATATCGGCGATAAAAGGGCGCCGCTTCGCGCTGCGCGAAGCGCGAATAACTTCGCGCTCTCGCGACGCCCCTCAAGGGAGAAGAGGAGGACATGGAACCGCGAAGCTTGAAGCGCGAATAACTTCGCTCCCTCGAGGGCGCCCTTGCAGCTCCGGGGGGGAACATCGAGCTTGAGTCGGCGATGCATCGCATCGCTGGAAGGTCGGTGATAGGAACCCGATATCCGCCGTCAGTGGGCGATTGGGGGTCGATGCGTCCCCTCCTGAGCCTATCCCCCACTAACCTTGCCCCGGAGGGGAGGGCGGCCTTCTGAGAAGGCAGGGGGTCTCGTGGAAAGGTCCCGCCCCTGATCACACGAAGGCTTCTGCGAAGGCTTCTCAGGAAGACAGGGGGGGCTTCGAAGAGTCGGCGTGAGTGTCTTCTTACAAGGCCACCCCGCCTCCCCCCGCACCCTTCGGAGCGCTGTCGTCTCTCCCGCCTCATGGTCGTCGGGCGGGTCAACCTCCTCTGCGAGCTCATCTTCGATCTCGACCTCTTCCTCAACTGTCTCCAACGTCATTGTCTGCGTTGTTGTGGTTGTCGTCGTTGCCGTGGTCGGCGGCTCGCTGAGCCCGTAGCACTGCATGAGTGCCTCCTCCGTGTCCGCGTCGATCTGGTCGAACTTGGACTTCAGCGGCTGGGTCATGGAGGTGCGCACTGCCTGAGATACCATAAACTTCGCGCGCTCCAAGCTACTGTGGTCCATCTTCTCCATCGATACCGTCTTGATTATCTCGTAAGCCCGGTCTAATGTGCTTGACCAGGAGACGGCCTCGCCAGCGTCCGCCCAAATCTTGACCTCCTCGGCGACGGACTGGATAGGGGTGGAATGCGCTTCCTCTTCCTTGTCCTCCGCCTCCTCCTCCGCCTCATCCTCCTCGTGCTCTCCTCCTCCTCCTTTCTCCTCCCTGACATCTGGCCTCCTACAAAATCAGGGCTTCCAATTCTCTGACAAAAAGAATCACCGAACCTAGCGAAATCACTCGTCAATCGGTCTCGGATCCTGGGGCCCCCAGAAAAACCGACTGCGCGAAAACAATGCCAAAGACGTGGCCGAGCGTTCCGAAACCTTGATCCTCTCCTCCTCCTCCCACCTTATCCTCTTCCTCCTCTACCTCTCCCTTCGCCTCCGCCCTGCTCCCCCCCCGGCCCTCCCACTCAGTCTATGGCCGCGTCCTCTGCGTAGTTCGGCACAATGTCGGCCCCCTCCTGGAAGATGGGGGCGTAAGTGGCGATTCGAAGGTGGGCGTCACCAGCCGTCAGGTTCTCCTGGTCGGACAGACACATACCCGCACCCCTCCTCCTCCTCCTCCTCCTCCTCCTCCTCCTCCTCCTCCTCCTCCGCTTCCCTGCTTCTGCTGCTGCTGCCCCCACATCCGCCCTCCTCCTCCTCCTCCTCCTCCTCCTCCTCCTCCTCCTCCTCCTCCTCCCCTACATCTTCTCCCTCCACGCCCACCTTTCTCGAGATTTGTTACTCTCTCTTGGATCCAACTTTCTTTCAAGGCGCCATCAAAGGAAGTGCGGAAGCTCCGCTTCAGTAGGGCGGCCTCAGAAAAAAATATGTTGGGGGAGGCCCGTGTGATAAGAAGCCTGCGCGAACGCTGAACTATCCGTATGCCTTTATTCAGCTGCGTGACCGTGGCCAGCGCCTGGCGAGTCAAAATCATTATCAGTGTCACCACCACCAACAACATCATGGCAACAAGTGTCGTCGTCACCGCCATCGTTATGTGTAGATAACGATAGACCCATCATCGTCATCACCATCACCATCACCCGGATCGCTACGATCATCATCGCCACCGACACCATCGCGTCTGCTAGCCCCGACATCGCCGATATTGAATGGCCAACGAGCGCATAACAACAGTATTCCTTCAACATCAGAACCGCCAACACAAACATTATGATCTCCGTCGAGACCCACCCTACATCCGCAAATCGTTGCGCATTTTCGTGCCGAGCACATACACTGATCATCGGCTCAGCTTTGTGTTCATGGCATCCGACGATGACGAGGGGCTGAATCCTAAGTCGCCCCCTCTGGATAGGTCCTGAGAAATAGAATGTGAGATAGGAGGCGCAATTGGAGGGGAGGGATCGTGAACAGATGTTTCGAATCATCATACCCGGAGGCGAATACGGAGAGGCTTACGAGCACGGGTTTGGCGCTGCCCTCGCGTATCCTCCTTCTCGAGCGACTTCAAGAAGTTGACAACCTCCTTCATGCTCCTGTTGAGGCCGCCCACACGTGACCAGAGCAAATGGCGCAGGGGGGTCGTACAGCACCGCCGATGCATCGGTTACGTCGGCCACCAGGCTCACGATCGCGGAGCGTCGCCGATACATCTCTGGGGTAGACGAACCAACAATACGCAAACATCAACTTCCGGAAGGTCCGCGCATGCTTCTTGGTTCGGCGCCAGGGGGGGTCCAGCGCCGACGCAAGAAAGCCGCGCGGACCTCCGAAAGCTCACGTCGATGCCGTGTTTTCTTCCTCGATGGAGGTCCTCGAGCTCACGGCGAATGTTGGGATCGGCAGCAGCTTCCCGAACTTCTTGCCCCTCTCGCCCCGGTAGTAGTACTCCCCGGGCATGGTCTGCAGCACGACGGCCACCGCCCCGAGTCGAATGGCCTCCTCGACCTCGTATTCTCTGGGGCGATTTTCGCCGGCGCTGGCTGGGAATTAGCCGGCTTCCCCTGTGCTCAGATGAGGAGAAGGCGTCGATACCGCTGCCCTTCCCTCGTCGCCACGGCTGCATTCGCCTCGAAGTCCTGGTCAGAACGCGCCCTGGAGAGAGATCCACGGAGTAGTGGTACGGGCATCTTTTTGTGCCCCCATGTGCCCCTTGCCAGGTGGCGCTAGCGCGCAAATCGTGTCGTCACCAGAAACGGCCTAGGTAGCCTAACTTCGCACATCACGCCCCGCGATGCGCACCGCGCGCTCATCTTCGCGTCATCGCGCCGCCGCCCTTGCGAAGGGCGCGCGACGCGATGGTCGAAGCTCGGTTATCTTCGTGCCCCCATTGGGTGACCTAGATTCCCAGACGGCGCTGGGGCGCAGATCATGGCGTCACTAGAAGGGGAAGGGGTGGAGGAGGGGGGAGCGTGGCCACGGACACAGGGACATCGCGAGTATAGCTCAAAAACAAGCGTGGAGAAGGGAAGGGGCCCAGAGCCCTGAAGGCTTGATTGTTTCTAGCCGGATGCCCTAAAAATCTCGACCCAATCCCAGGGGGGGGGTTGCTCCTCCCAGCTCAACTTTTGATCGCCTGGCGGGGCCGAAAACGGACCCCAAGGCCCGAACTTGGGGGACGCGCCAAGACTGAAAAAACAACGAATTACCAGGGGACCTGGGAGGAGGCGGAGGAGGAGGCGCAGGAAGAGGTGCGTATATATATATATATATATATATACGCACACACACATAAACAAGACTGCATTGGCGCTTCGCGCCATGCACCTTGGTCTTTGAGGCTTTGCATACGTTGGTCGTTCGCGCCATCTCTAGTGGCCTTGGAAATTTGGCCCCTCCCCTGCGGTGGTTTTAAGAAGTCTTCAAAAGTTCGGGCGGTCCCTGGCCCTTCCCAGGCCTCTGGGGGCTGCCGAAAGGCGCTGGGTGGAGGCCAAAGGATAGGAGGGAGGGAATCTCGGAGAGCGAGGAAAGGAAGCGGATGCGGGGGAGGGCGAGTGGTGGAGCGGCAGAAAGAGGAGGGCGCCGTCGGGGGACGGCAAAGAATTTTGCAGCGCGTTGCAGCGTATCGCAACGGGGCACGCGAACGCAAATAATTCTCAGGAAATGCACACAATCCCGGATTGGTAACAGATTTCGGGGATTTGTGGTTGCGAAGTCGGGTCAATTTGGTGGAAAACGCCGTATGGGCCTTGTTGGAGCCCTGGTGGGCCAGTCGGCTTGGGGCCGTCTCGAGCCGTCTTGGGGCCATCTTGGGCCGTGTTGGGGAGCTTGGCCCCTCTAGGGACCTTGCGGGGGCTACGTAGGCCCTCCTGTTGGCCTCTCATGGCCTTTTTTGGGGGCCCCCCATGGCCTTCTTGCGTTTCTCTTGGGGGCCTTGTGAACGCGTGTCGGGCACTTTTTGGCTCATTTGGGGGTTCCTTTGGCAGTCTTGGGGCCGTCTAGAGACTCTCTTGGGGATCTCTTGGGCCGTCTTGGGGCGATACTGGACGCCTTCTTGGCTGTTTTGGACGCTGCTAAGACCCGAACAGCGAATACGCTGAAAAGGTGCGTTTCCAAAAGGGATTGGAGCGATGTCTGCGTTCTGGGAGCCATGTCGAGGGCCTCTGGGCCGTCTTGGGGGCCTCTGGAGGCCCTCTGAGTCCTTCTTGGAGCGCTCTGGTGCTGTCTTGGGTCTTTCTTCGGCCTCTCCGACCACCGCTATGATCGCTTCAATCACTTGCGAGGGCCTGTTGGGCCTCTTTTTGGCTCATTTGGGGTTTCATGGGAAGTCTTGGGGCCGTCCAGCCCGTCTAGAGGCTCTCTTGGGTGTCTCTTGGACCGTGTTGGGGCGATACCGGAAGCTTTTGGAGCTGTTTTGGACGCTGCTAAGACACGAACAGCGAATGTGCTGAAAATGCACGTTTCCCCAAGGGAATGAAGGGATTTCTGCGTTCTGTGAGCCCTGTTGAGAGCCTCCTGGGCGGGCTTGGGGGCCTCTGGAGGCCCTCTGGGTCCTTCTTGGAGCGCTCTGGTGCTGTCTTGGGTCTTTCTTCGGCCTCTCCGATCACCTCTCTGATCGCCTCGGTGCCTTGTGAGGGCCTGTTGGGCCTCTTTTGGGCTCAATTTTGGCTTGCTTGGGCAGTCTTGGGGTCATCCAGGCCGTCTAGAGTCTCTCCTTGGGGTCTCTTGGGCCGTCTTGGGGTGATGCTGGAAGGCTTTTTGAAACTGTTGGACGCTGCCAAGACCCGAACAGCGAATGTGCTGAAAATGCACATTTCCCTAAGGAATGAAGGGATTTGTGCATATGGGAGCCCTGTTGAGGGCCTCCTGGGCCGTATTGGGGGCCTCTGGAGGCCCTCTGGGTCCTTCTTGGAGCGCTCTTGTGCTGTCTCGGGCCTTTCTTCGGCCTCCCTGATCACCGCTCTGATCGCTGGTGGCCTTCTGGCAGGACCCAACTGAGCGCCCTGGGAGGTCCGGGACAGGCCGGGGGACCTTTGGCAAAGATGTCCAGGGGGCCCAGAAACCCGCGATCCTGGAGACAGTTTGGGGGGGGAGAGGGTTGTCCCACCACTCTGGCTTGTAACGTATAAAAAGAGGAATATACACACATATGTTCACATATCCGAACACATCCAAGCTCGATATGCAAGCAAGTGTGTCCAGTAGAACGGTGTGTCCGGTGTCAGACGCATATTGCAAGCCAATATGTGGCTAGGCGAGGCCTAAAACTTGCTGTGCGCAGCGTGCTCCGTCGCGCTCAAGCGGCGCCAGGTGGCCGAAGCGGAGACAAGGTGGAAGAGTGCATAATTCCATCCTAGCGGCCTGGCAACAACCGTCAATTCTACGTCGAAGCTCGGCTGTTCCATCAAGGGGGACAAGGGGCCGTTGCGGGGCGAGGTATGGACCAGACTTCAAGGCGGCTGCGTCCAGCCGCGGCTACGAGAACCCTCAGAGACTTCCCAAATCCTCCGAAACTGACCGGGGGGAGGTGGCAACCCCAATCTCCGACGTTGTGCAATTGTAGGGTTTTGCTAGGGCCAGAAGAATCGGGCCCCAACTCGAAGGCATGGCATAAGGGAGGCACCCGTCTAGAATAGGGGCGCGTCCAAAAAGCCCCCCCCAGGGGGTGTATCCCTGAGTTCCCCTCCTTGTCTGAGCGGCCAGATTACTTAGGACAACTGGGGGACTGAAGGCGGGAGATCGCCTGCGGACGACGACCACGATGACGACGACGAAGACGGCGAGCCTCGGCCACGAAAAGCTAACCGACGTAAATCTAGGGAACGACCCGGAAACCAGAGCCCCTCATGAACCCAAATTGAGAATCATTTCGGCGTATTTACTGAGCCTGGGAGAACTAGAAACAGTCAGACCTCTACCACGAGGAGCATTGGATGAGGATACAAGCTTGTTCTGGCCCCAGCTGCGACAAGATCCGCGAGAAGCGCCCGAGGACGCCAGAATAATAAGAACACTGCATAAAAAAATCCACGCGGATTTCCGAAAGGCTATGTTCATGGAGTCGTTTGACCTTTCTTCGACACACCTGCGGGGGGACCCAAGGAATTCCGAGCCCCTGACGAGACCGAAGGGGGGCCTTACCTCAAGGAGCTCCTGCTGCCAACCCCAGCCCGGCAAGGGCCTGTACAAGACCGAGCCTCCGAAGCGAAGGTCGTCGACGTCGTCGACGCCTACCTTTTTTCACTTTGAAACTCTCTCCTTGAGGGGGGACCGTAGGGGGGGGGGACAGCTCCGGGGGGAGAGCGAGGGAGAAACATCGATTTGGAATCGGCGATGCATCGCCGATAGATCGGCGATGGGCCCTCGACAGCGACTCCGCACTGCCCTGAGCGGGGTGGGCTAACAGGAACTACCAGCGATCAGTGGGCGAGTGGCGGTCGAGGCGTTACCCCCTGAGCCATGCCCCCTCAGCATTGCTCCTGACCTCCACCTCGAAACCCCCTCCCCCTTTTTTCTGGGGTCTATCCTGGCCAGTTTTTTCAGCCGCGTCCAGCTGCGGCGACGAGCATCCCCCGGGGGAGCCTGGAACACATCGGAGACGGGGCGCCGAACCCCGATACTCCTCGGCCCCGTTCCAAGAAGCCCGCCATAACAAAACAACAACATAAGCAGCAACAGGGGAACAACGCGCGTGAGAGCCCCAGGCTCTCCGACGTACCTCCCCCGCTCTCTCAAAAGGCGAAAGCGCTCGTGGCAGCCCCGTGCCACGGATCGGACCTCCCCAGCAACAGCCACGGCATCAGCAACACCAGGGTCCTCCAACTGACCGAACCTGCCCGCTTCCTTCGGGGGACCCATGGAGGTACGCCTTCATGTATGCGCGCATCGGCGAGGCGAATTTCCTACGGAACCTGACGGTTAAGTACCGCTGCAGGACCATCGAAGATCACACATTGATAGTATACGAGTCGCATCGGATCCCTATAGGATACGATTGGAGTCCTGTTGGAAACCTGTCGGATCCTATAGGAGCCTTACGCGGTCCCTGTCGGCTCCATGTAGGATCCTATAGGACTCAGTGGATCCATGCAGGATCCTCTAGGAATCCGACTGAATATCTGTAGGATCCTATGGGATCCCTACTGGATACCAATCGGATCATATATGAGCACTGCGGGACCCATGTATGATCCTTGTCTTCCCAGCGCAAAACCCCAATGCCGCCGCACACGCGCTCGCACCACGCGTCGGCTGTTCGGATGATGTCGGTTGTAAACTTATGATATCCAGGGCACGCGGAAACGCGACACATTCGAACCACGTGTGACGAGATGCTGGCAACGTGCACCAAGAAAACCCGGAGTCACGCGAGGGCCAACCTGCAATAGGTGAACCAACAAGTGAAACATTAGCTCGTGAAGAAACTACTGGCGATGGTTGCGCTGCCTGGGGATGGGTGTCCAAACGTTCCCGGCATCAGGCCAAGGTGCGGCCACAAATCACGGATG